ACTGCTGCAGGTTTTCGTTGCTGCGTTGCACGCGATCTTTAAGCTGCGCGCGAAAGACGTGTTCCAGGTGAGCGTCACTATATTTCGCCTCCAATGCCTCAAGGAGCTGCTCGTAGGTCACTTTCTTACCGAGAGCTTCCAACACAGTTAAGGCTTGGTCGCGCAGGCCTAAGGTGAGTGCAGTCATGGCCTGGCTTGTATTCCAGCCGTTTGCCTCCATGACGGCCTCGAACTGTATTTTGTAGGCCGACCAGGAAGAAGTCCCGTCGAACGGTGGTACCTTGGACCCACGTAGCGAAGGTGTAGTAGCTACTGCGGGGGCTGCAATTCCATCTCCAAGTTTTAGTTCATCCAGCGTTTTCTTAACTTGGTTGATTTGGGTCTCAGCTTCCGACAGGCGGTTATCATGTTGAGCAACCTTATCCTTCACCTCCCTTATCTCTTTCCCGAAGGTAGCGTGAAGGTCCTTCATGAGAAGCATCTGCTCTTCCCTATCGCGTTTGAGCTGCTCTTCTAAGCGACGGGCCTGTTCCTCCTGCTGCTCTTTCAACTGACTGGCCTGTTCCTCCTGTCCGCGCTTCAGCTGCTCTTCGAACCGACGAGCCTGTTCCTGCAGCATCACCATCAGAGCGCCTAAATCAGGTGCTGCAGATGCAGGAGCTACTGACGGACCGGCCTCCGTTGCCGGCGGCTGGCCCTCCGACGTCTGCGGCGTTGCACCACCACATCTTCTCTGGTCCGTCTCATGCTGGCGTTGACTGCGGGTTCGAACACCCTCCGTTTCCTCCTTAGGTAAAATCGGCATGATTTTATCCCACTTCTGACACCAATTGTTACGAGCTTGAGGTTCGTGACAATAAAAATTGTCGATAGAATTACCTAAATTAACACTTTAATTTTCTTTACACAAATTAAAACTTAAAACACCAATAATTAAGCACACTAATTCACTTTATTCCGCTCCGAAGATTCGCTTGTCTCGCCGAATTCAATACTTCTCCGATCGCACCTTGCAGCGCCTATAAATACACATTAGTACCGAATCATCCAGAACATTCAAGTAAATACGCGCACCAATCGACAAAGCGCCGAAAGTTCGAGAGTCAGCTTCCGGAAGCTTAGTTCTTCGTTTCGACAACAGATCGCGCGGTCGGTTCAAAGATTTGTGATGTCATTTTCTGGAAAGCTCCCCTCGCTCTCATCTCTGACACTAGATGGCGCTAGTGCCGTCGACTTAGGCGCGTAACACGAAACGAGCAAGGTCAATCGCGTCATATTCGGCCTTAAGACGTGATGCAGATATGAAATTATCACGCAATATTTGACTCGTGAATCTGACAATTATATTCTTCGGTCGTGAGCTAGTTGGATTTAGTTGTTGTACGCGATGAACTGCCACAATATCTTGTTATAATTATAAGTAACCGGCTGTTTTAAAATACTAGCTATATTTTGGACTACATTTAGCAAGTTCTTACCACGCCTTTCCGGAAGATTACTGATTTCGGCATTACAACTTCTCGATATTTGCTCCATGTAATCCAGCCTTGCCTGAAGCTCGACGAGTTGAGTATGATTTGATTCTGGGTAGACAGAAGTAGATTTTTTTTCCAGCTCGCTAAGTCGATGGTCAACATCCGCGATTTTCTTATTCAATTCCCGAAGATGTCATTCATAACTCCTATTGAGGTCTTGACATCTTCAGTATCCTTTACCAATTTGGAGATCTTTTCATCCTGCCGTGAGAAGTAGCTTTCCAACATGTTGAGGATTTTATTCTGGAAAAACTGAAGCTCACTCTTGAAGTCTGGATTTGTATAGCTTGAGGCCGCTTTGCGATATGTTACAAAAGATGAGGGTGTCACCATTTCAAGGTTTTCCTCCCCACTCATGTTACCAGACCTGGGCGGACCCTCGCTATCACTTAATTGATCCTTTTGACAAAATGTGTTGTTAATGTTATCCATGATGTTGCTATAGCACAACACGCAGTCACCTCTATACCAGTTATTACTTTGTGCCTAATACGCAATAGCGATAGCGCTGCGTCGTGTTGCCGCGAATCCGGTCACACGCACTCAGATAACTCGTACACGGATAATGCACGTTAGGCACAGGGCACAGGCGATGCGAAAGACGACGCGCGCGCGAATCAAACTTCTTAACTAAATAATAATTCTTATCAATATATTATTTTTTCCATATTATATAGGAATTAAAAGAACATTTTTAATAATAAGAGATATGACATAAGACTATGCCTTCAATGTCAATAAACTGTATTTACATATTTCTGTGAGTATTTTCTTATATCTGCCTTTTCGTATGTTAAATAATAAAGAAATTATTATAAATTATACAGCATTAATCAGCTCCAGCTGATCAAATACAGAAGCAGAAATTATTGATTAACATCAATGATATTCCAAATTTATTGAAAATTTCGAAATAAAATCTACGGCTGAAAAAATCAAGCTGGTTAGTTATTTATATTTTTCTATCTTGATGTGATAATTTGCCATCCGGGATAGTAAAATAATCAGCTAACTTGTGTCGTATATCTAAAGCACTAATTTGTACTTGGTTATTTGAAATGTTATCAGCGTGGTATCTTGATAATGTTGAAGTGTTACTGGTTTCTTGAATGGTTTTTGTTTTAATTATATAATTATGTAAAATACAAATAGCTCGAACAATATTTTTCGCGAATATAATATTGACATTGAGTGGTCTATGCAATATTCTAAATTTATTGGCCATGATACCAAACGTACATCATTATATATTATTATATTGGCGTATCATTAGATTATTACACTATACTTATTTAGACATAATAAAGGTGAGGAACGTTTTCTAATATGTGTTAAATTATTTATTAATCTTTTTTTAACAATATTAACAAGAGTAAAGCTTCTTCGTCGGAATCAATTGCGTAACTGACAAACATCACTAAAATTTACCGAAGCATTACTGAGTACTGACGCGCGTCTACTGCGACACAGTCGCGCCACTGTAGCGCTTCTTTTTGGTATCACCACCGCAGCGCTTTCTCACGCCTCTAATTTGAAGGCGCCCTAAGACCTGTTTGTTATTTGTATTTGTTTTAGGTAAAATCTACAAACTTAATAATAGATTTTCACAACCTAGAATAGGTGCAAATTAAGAAACTCTTATATTAATTAACCTAAATTCGTCAGTTTTATTTGCGAATTTTACCACAAAAAATAAAAAGAGAAAAACATACGTACTTGCATCAATTAATATTTGGGTAACCTTCCTGATAATTGATAATATCCATATTTTCTTAAACATTAGTCTAGTAATGCTTGTAAATAAAAACTTCATTTTGTTCTAACCATAATGATGCGACTCCAACCATGTTTTATTAAACTCGAGTAAATCGAGTGAATTTGTCCAACTCGATAATCGATAGAAAATAAATTTTAACGACTTACCGAGTTAACTCGGCGCATCGTATAGATTCAAAGTGTGCTATATAGATATTACTTTACTAATTTACTTGTATATAATATAATAAGTCGCTGCGGGTGACATCACAAGTTACATCCAAAAATTGTAAACAAACATGAACTTAGTATGATTTATGATATAGATTTATAATTTTAATTTCATGTTGCCACATATCACTTATTTATAAAGGTACATATTTAAAAATGGTTTAATTAAAGTAATCGTTACTCTCAACTTTAGTGATAAACTTTTCTGTAAATAGTCGATTTACTCAAAAACTAGTGTACAACTAGAATGACATACATACATAAATTAACCCGAGTGGCTCGAGTCACAAAACTCTACTCGAATCGCATCTTTATCTTACGGCCAATGCAGTGTTTATCTACAATTTAGTGATGAAATCGACTTACTAATTCGAGCAATTTATTGATATATTATGTAATAAATAAATTGATATTAGGTAATATGTTTATAATGTATCAATTTATGTTATACATAATATAAATTGATTATATATACTTTGGATACTCAAATTATTAATAGCATTAAGACTTACGTCATAACGTTAGAGTGATGTTATTTTATGAAGATTGTCGATACGCATACCAAAAATAATATATAACTACCTATTAATTGTAGTAATAATAATTGTGTTGTATGGAAGGACAATTATAAAAATAATTTGTGACAAATTGACACAGATTCGTGCAGCTAATTTGAATTGCGTAACTCGAGCTCAAAATCGAGTTACCTGAATTTCAACTCGAGTCAATTTTTTTTTCCGAGTTATCACGGCACAAATCTCTAAGACAATAATTTTTTAAATATTACATTACCTTAGCCAATGATCAGAACACGAATATTAAAACACCTAACATTTTTTTTTAGATTTCTTGATTCCGTTTACATTTTCGAAAAATCTATAGGCCATTTACTATTATAATTTGGTGTCTTTTTTTGGTGTAAATACCATTAAATGATGTTAATATTTCTCGTTGGCCCAAAAATGATTGTCTCCTTTGGTTTCTCATTCTTTACTCATCCATTCTTTCCACATGGCCAAACCACCGAAGCATTCCTTTCTTAATCCTGGTCACAACATCATCTTGCAAACCACACTGTTCTCTTATCACACAATTTCTCACCCTGTCACTCAGATTCAGCCCTAACATATTCCTTAATGACTGCATTTGTACTGCGTGCCTCTTCTGCCACACCCAACTTTCACTACCATATGTTAAAGTAGGCCAACACAGCATTGTGAATTGCCATAAGTGCCATTTTTGACACATTCTGACTTTCCACAATAGAGTGTAGGGCCCCATTTACTCTATTTCCTGTATTACTATATCATGTATACTCTATTTCCCTATATGTACATAACTTTCAAAAAAATGAACTTACATGGTAGAGTTAGGCTGCAGATATAATATTATGTTTGTTGCACAAAAATTGTGTTGCATATGTAAGTACCTGCGAAACATGTTTCATTATGAGTTAATATTTTATCATTCCTGTTTCAGAAATCTGGATGCTGTTGTACACTTTAAGCATTTGACATATTTAATAGCTGACGCCAATCCAATCACAGAGCACTGCGCTATTCCACCATTGCCAAAACTACAATTGCTTTGGTAAACTATTTAAATTTATTATTTTCAATACTCCAAATATTTCCTAATTTATGAGAAATATTTTAGATTTATATACGCCTTAAGTCCTGCTGTTATGTAAGAAACCTATAGGCCGGCATTCAGAGACAATCTTGAGTGAAAAATCAACTCCACAATTTTAAAATATGTGTATGTAACATAGAATGGTTAGTTTTGGCTGGAAATTGTCCGGGGCCAAATTGCTGCTACTGTATTATTGTTTAAACAATGGTTTGAAGTGGATTATGATACGTAAATGTGATGTAATTTTGTGTGTGTGCACCAATGGTGATGTGAACTTCACGATGTCTCCTAAGGCGCCTTTAGATACGTCATCGACTGTCTTCTGGCTCGAGCTGTCGTCAAATCTCCCAAAAACCTCACAATCTGATGCATTAGCATTGTGAAGAAGTTTAAAAAATATATATTATATAGGCTAATTGCATAATATTGTTACGAGCTTGAGGTTCGTTCGATAAAATTACCTAAATTAACACTTTAATTTTCTTTACACAAATTTAAACTTAAAACACTACTAATTAATCACACTGATTCACTTTATTTCGCTCCGAAGCTTTGCTTGTCTCGCCAAATTCAATACTTCCCCGATCGCGTATTGCAGCGCCTTTATATAGGGCTCTTCCACGAAAACATCCAGAATATTCCAGAATATTCGAGTAAATACGCGCGCCAACCGACCAAGCGCAGAAAGTTCGAGTTTGGGGCTTCCAGAAAAGCTTAGATGGCGCTGTCGGTAGAAAGATTAGTGATGTCATTTTCTGGAAAGCTCTCCCCTCGCTCCGTTACCCGACACTAGATGGCGCTAGTGCCAGATGTCAACTTAGCTGCTATATTTGAACAGGCTATCACAAGTTTACAAGAGGTGCTACTGCATAGACATTATTCATTAATTATATAAAGCCTACGACTGAATATAGACTTCCCCCATAGATTGCCTCATATACGAGGGCGGGTCAAAAAGTACTCGGTATGAAGGGGTTAGAGAGGGGAGGGGGGATTTTTCCAGCCAGATCAGTTCATTAACCTGTCAATCGGTAAATGATTAACTTTGAAGAATTGAAGAAATTTTCACATGACTAAGTGAAGTCGCCAATTTCTGCCTGCTCGGCTTGATAAAATATTTTTTTTTCGATGGTATAAATAAGTTCGTCGGTCTAAAAATTGTATTAGGATTAATGGAGAATATATTGCAAAGTAAAAATAGTTTAATCCCTAAATTTTTTACACAATAAAATTAAAACATAGGAGTACCTATTATTTGTTCCACTATTGCGACTGTTCACGTTGCCAATTTTAGGTTAATGAAATGCTATTGTTAACGTGAGTGTCCGTGCGTCCCTGCCTCCAGAGTGTTTGCCGAACTTGACTTTTCAGGATTTAAAATAACAAGTCAGAATTTAATTGGTGCAAGTAGATATCGAAGTCTGTTTACCCGCATAGCGTGAAGTTAGGAAGTAATTACAGCCATATGTTAATATATTGAGAATAGTTCAGTTGTGAAACTACAACAAAATAAATGAAAATGTGAAACATGAAATTTGAAACAATAACAAAATAAAAAATGGTGTAAAGTTCAGATATAAAATAAGCGGAAAAATACAATTTTTTTTATATTTTTCCGCCTATTGGAGTACAAACATGTGTTGAAAAATAAAAATAATTTTTTTTATAATTCTCAACACATGTACTCCCAAAATTTTGAATTCCATAAAGCTTATTTTTAGGTTAAACCACTGCAAAATTTCGTCACTTTACCCCTGGGCGGGCAAATTAAAAGAGACATGCCCTAACTTAGAGCATATAAGTCTGATGGGTAACGCCGCTGCCCCGAGTTACTTTAATGGCGGCACATTCTATGAATATCTTCAGTACAGGTATGCTTATTCCATTTTAATAAATAATGAATAGCTGTAATATAAAATTCCATTCGGCAAAAATTACTTGAAAAATGAATACAATTTTTATTTTCTTGAATCTCTAAATTACCCATTTGCTATTAACACTTTGTTTTACTTCACTTTTTTTTTCTTAAAACTAGTTCCTAAGTAGCTTTAAAGTTTAATAAATAGAACAATTTTGGGATACAGAGAAAATAATAAAGAAGTAAGTTGTAAGTGTTATAATCTGTGGACCATAGACATCTGTTTCTATCCTCGTTTAAGAATCTAAATGCAGATGCGTTGTCACTCTCCGAGATTAGGATGGAAGACCTAGTTTCCAGTAATAAGGGTATCTGGTTCCTTACACTCACTATACAGTACACACCAGCATTAAGTGCTACAATCATAATGTAGCTGTAGCATGGCACTACCACTTATAGTGTATCCAAAGAGCTGTTAAAATTGTTTTTGATGCCGTAATATTTTTAACGCAGCTAACAGTCTCCTATGTACTAAAAATAAAGGGAATAAAAGGCATAGAACAGTTATGTTAGAAATAATTTTCACGATACCGGCAAACACTGTGAAATGTAATAAGTAATAACACTGCTTTGCCATTTGCGCTTTTTTCACCTTTTTGAAACTGCACGCTATAATATCATAATTTTAACACACTTAAAGTTCTCACTATATACAATAACAAGAAAAATTTATTTTAGGTTATTTGTAATTTCTAAATTTCCTTCACTAAACCACTTGGACGATCGACGAGTGACGGAAGACGAGAAAGCTGAGGCACACCGCCTGTACAAGAGGCCACTGGTGGAAAGAATAGTAGACCCAGGGTCGGGGGGCCTGTCGCAGTTGATTCACAGCTCTGTATCTTGGAACGCCTTCCAGAAGAAAATAAATTCGTTCTGGACGCGAGAGAAGCAGGGGACTAGGAATCTGCTGATATGATTTTCTTTAATAAAGGTGCAATATTTAGAAGATAACAACGTATTCCTCTGTAATCCCCTTGGATAATGAGACAAATTAATTTCCTTCTGATGCAATCTTCATTTATCACTACCATATTCCTGTTTTCTTTTTCATTAAATAATTATTTTAAACACTAGGAAACTTCTAAAATTACTTAAAATGTTCAGTTAAAGAAATTTGATGAACATAAAAAAATCATTCAGACGGCCTCAATCCTTTTACGTTCGTACTTAAAAAAAAATCGGTCCAGTTTTGCAGGAGGAAGCGGAGGAGTACGGGATAATGATCTCGTCAATATTTCAAGAGGTAAATAATCATTCCTATATATCATAATCAGTCCGAGTTTCAGTGGTCTCTCTCGCGCTCTTTGCGGGAATGTTTGTACAGCGCGATAGCAATAGATCTGTCAAAAACCTATTCTTCAAATATCTTGCTGCCCTGATATTACTCTGAAGTCATTTGCGAAGCGTTATAGCTATTGTTAAAGTTATTAACTTATTGTTTCAGTCGTTCTAATAAGAACTTTAATAAATGTGCAAGTTTATTTGTGTTATTCCGTTTATCCATCCTAAGGCGGATACTCGGAAACGCGTGTTCATCTATCCACCCCAGACGGGGTAGGTAATCGAAATTCGTATATGTTTTTTTTCTTCCGATGTTCTCCATTGGTTGTGTACATCATTTATATAAACAATAAAAACTGGCTCAAGATACGATAGACATAACATAATATAGACATTATCTTTAAAAATATATACATATTTCTTGTTTGAAAGGTCAACGCTGAAATAAAAGGGTACCTCACAGGCTTACAGATTCTTTGGAATCTTGGAATAAAATAATTTAAAATGAAGTTAAAGACAAGCTTACAATCGTAACGTTTTTGGAATACTTGCAAGAAGAAAACGTTCAGTTCTTCAGTAACACATCTGTGGCAGTAAAGAAATTTGGTAAACGATTGCAAATGTACATTAAAAATGAATTCATTCAGGATATCAAATTACGTCTACTCAATAATGAAATTAGTGTTGATAATTACCTGCACGAGGAAGTTTAATTTGATTTAAATGCAATGCGTATATGTAATGCGTGCGTGAATTTTAATAGGCTGTGACGGTAAAGGTAACGGCAATATGTAATAAGTTTTTTGTTTTTTGTAAGGTTTGTGGTTATTAAAAATTTATTAATAATTAAAGTGTATGTGTTGAACTGGGGTTGGGGTAAAAAGGCGGAAAAACAAATAAATAACGCGTATATAACTATCCACCCCGTCTGGGCTGGATAGATGAACACGCGATTCCGAGCATTCACCCTAAGGTGGATTCTTTAGGGTGGATAAACGGAATAATCCGTTTATTTTCCTCTTACCTATTTCTGTTGCCAAATATATAAAAAAATTTATATATAAAAAATAATTTTTATTTGTTCGTATTTAACGCGCTGCCATACCGTTCATCAGTTCGCGGTGAAACTTTGTCAACGTATTGCTTGCACTTCCGCGAAGATTACAGGCATAGTTGGACCCGGTAGGTGGCGCTGTTGTAGAATTCAGATATCAGTCGTGCGAAGCCGGGGCAGATCGCTTGTATTTTTTAAATAAAAAAAACTGTATATGTATGTAAACTGATAAATAAACTTAGTCTACCTGGAATGTAGCTACAGTCTATGGATACTTGTGACTGTTATGTTCCGGTTTGAAGTTGATGAGAGCCAGTATATTAACGGGCTGTGAGGAATTCAATCTTAGACTTCAGATGTGACAGCGAATCTGTAGCTTTCTTTGTTTGAAGCTGTTTGCAGGGGACCATGGGCTCAGTGGCCACTTACTATCAGGTAGACCGTTCAGTTTACTAAAAAAACGCTCTCGTCCAAGGCTCGGGACAGCTTTCCATGCTACACCACTGACTCTATCCAACAGTGGTCTCTTACTTACTTACTAATAGTGATATGTTACCCACTGACCTCAATATATACAAGTACGCTGGACAGGCTATACCATACAAAATCTCCAAGTGCCAATTTGAAGTGCTACTAATGATCGTCTTGGAAACTAAAATTGACATAATATGCCAAAGTCTGTTGTCTTATTTAAATTGTCTCATTTAAAAAATCTGTGATTTGATCTTTTAAACTAAAAAACGATAGTATTTTATGTTGTTTGATTCTGTATAATTTCAGTTACATAATAATAATTATTTTTAATAATAATGAGAGTGTGAGTAATCTGTAAAACTCGTTACCAAAAGAGAAGTAGTATATCATTTTACAAGTGATTTGCAGCTAATATTAAACAAATTAAAACTATTTGATAATATAAGTACTTAAAAATTGTTACTAATCTTAATATCATATAATATACCAACATGTTTGGCTGTATATTACTGAGTTTTGATAAACAATAAAATTCAATAGGGTTGTCGAGTTCCTTGTCTATAATACTTATCGATGTTCTTTCCTACCCTTATCTGTTAACAAACAAAGTCGCCAACAACAGATAATTTATCAAATGTTTATTAATTAACAGGTTTCCAACTGAACCTAGACTAAAATTATAGCTTAAAATCATAAATATTATGAATTGGCGTCCGAAACAAAATGATCATATTTGTTCTAAACATTTCACAGACGACTGTTTTATTAGACATGAGAACTGCACCACTTTGAAAATGTGCAGTATTTCGCCAATCCATGGCTCATGGCATGGACGGTGCTTTGTGGCATTCCTTGGGGGAGGCCTATGTTCAGCAGTGGATTTGTGAAGAGCTTTAATGATGATAATGGTATTATAATAATATGATACATAACTATAATGGTCGTTATGGGTAGAGTCCATCTATTCATAGAGTCCATTCTATTTATTTAGGTATAGTTAGGGTATAGAGTTTTTATCGATATATTTTGTCACATGTCTTATCCCTATTATTAGTTCACTTCTGCTGTCAGCGCCAAAATGACGCATATCAAATCGCCTCATCATGTCACGGAGTATAGCCAGTCCAGCATACTTGTGTATATAGAGGTCAGTGTATGTTACCAGAATATGTTATATTATACTAGTTTAGCATAATATTATTATAGTACTAAGTACTAGATTACCGTTTTATCTTTATAATAAAGAATAGTAAAATTTTCTAATAATAACTATCGTCACGTTTTTGCTTAACATACTCACTGTTTATAAATAAATGCACAGATTACATGAAATGCAAAGCGTGTCTTATCTCTTTTCAATATCTACTTATGCCAATACAGGTTATATATGATTATCAATATGTCACACATGTGTAATGTAAACGTTAGTTAATAGTGATGTAATCGCTGACAATAATTAAAACATGGGTTGTAATGTTCGGCAATAATTCGTTTTAATAAAACACATACTTGTTACATTTTAGTTTTATTTTACAAAACGGTCTAAAAATCTAACTGAAAATTATACTATGAATTTTCAACCATTAATCAATATAATTAATAAAAATTTAACTATCCTGTTTATCCTAAACCTTGACATGGTAGCGCAGTAATTAAGCGTTACAGTAAACCCTCGTTAATGCGAACACGGTTAACACGAATTTTGGTTTAAGACGAACAAAAATTTGCTCTAGACAATAGTTCCATAAGCTTCAACGTAATTATGTTCGGTTAAGACGAATCCTCGTTAATCCGAACTTCGAACAACTTTTTCGTCCCTTCACGGTTAGTTATCGGATAACACGAACTATAAAAATTCCCAAATCATGTATTTTGTATATTTTTGTCCTTTTTCGGTCAATACAAATACCAGTAAACAAATGCTGAAGAGATTAGAAAAGTCATTAACTCGAGTTTCTAAAAATACACAAATGATTAGTATATCAAACATTCACTCGAGTACATAAAAATAGAAACAATACCTCAAATTTTCTTTCCGTCTTACAAAAGCTATTAAAAAGGTTGTAAACTTTTGAAAACTAATTAACAAAAGCAAAGGCTTCTTAACAATTTGTCTTTTAAAAATTATTGTAAATATAAAATAATAAAATCAAAGTTATTAATAAAAATGGTTCTATGATGAATCATAATATTGAGTTTAGAAACACAAATTCATTTTTTGCATTGTTCAGATTACACGAACTCCCCTGTAACACGAAATATTTGTCTGTTTTTTTCGTGTTCGTGTTAACGAGGGTTTACTGTAGTGGCACTACAGGGCTACGGGTTTGAATACCGCACTGAAGAAATATTTGAATCGTCTATATGTTTCGGTTCTGGATATGGTATTTTTACATGCATTACGCCTCCATGATTCTGGAGAAAATCATATAAATTGGCAAATAGAACATTATAGTATGTTAGTTTCAAGAACAAGTAAATGCTTATAAGCTCGGACTTCTTATGATGTGGATATCTTTAAGATGAGAGAAATAGATTATTATATAATGTTATATTATAATAGGTACGTTATTATAATAGTATTATATACAGTGTTATATTGTTAAACAAATAAACTAAGTCAGTATGCTTCAACATCTTGAGCTGCATCACCACATAAATCAAAGTAATTTGAAACAACGACTATCTTGAATTAAGTACATTTAAATTAATTGAAACAATTGATGACTAGTTTGCCGTGTGCTAGCAATGAAATCCATCATCCTATTTCATCCCACGGGTTTGTGATGATTATAACAAATATTTCCCACAATAAGGGAGGCTCATGTCCAACGGTAAAAATCTACTGACTGCTAAACAAAAGAAAACAATAAATAGCCTCCTAAACTAAATTCTTAAATATACTGGATGATTTAAAAAAAACACAACAAATAATTTGAACTGAATAAATAAGTCAATTAAAAACTATCGAAATTAAAATAATACGTACCCAGTAGTAAAGTTAAAGTAAAGTTACAGCCTATATACGTCCCACTGCGGGCACAGGCCTCCCCTCATTTATGAGGGGGTTTTAGGGCAAGGAAGTGTCCGCCGCGCTGCCCCAATGAGTGTTGGCGAACTTCACATGTCTTCGAAATATATTGTTTTTTTCTTATTCCTCAGACATGCAGGTTTCCTCACGATGTTTTCCTTCACCGCCGAGCACGTGGTAAATCAGCACTTAAAATTGCAATTAACAATTTCATCGGTGCCGGCGGGGCTCGAACCCGGGTTACTCGCGTTCTGTTATATTTACAGCGAGCGTTAACCATCTGAGCTACCACGGCTCTACCTACTACTACTACTACCTACCCAGTAGTATTTATTGCTAAATCAATTTCATATTATATGCTTCTATTCCGTTCACCTGTTACACCCTATTTTTTTCCAGAGGGTAAAAAAATCACCCAGTATTTTAAATATTATAGGTATTAATTGCTAAAATTACAATAACCGACTACTCTATATCATCTCGTGGGTGTCGTAAGAGGCGTTAGAGAAAAAGGAAACAGGAGATGGGCACCAACATCTTGCTGATCAGCAACACAATAAAAAATTGCTGTTGTTAATCCACCTGCCACGCGTGGCAACTATGGTAAATAGTTCTCCTCAGATGCAATCTATGGGAGCCCTTGATCAGAAGCTGACTTGATAAGTTGCTAAAGAATGTATTTTCATGTTAAAAATCAATGCGCATATTGTATTGTTATTTGTTTATAAACTAATTTTTACCCGTCACTTTGTCCACGTAGAACTTAAAAATAAATTTTGTTTCTTCACATTTCCAATTAAGATATCTACATTATATTGCATTGTAGTATATAATGTACATAAATGTGTATATGGTACTTAGGAATGCAAGATGGAGAAACCAAAATATCTGGACAAAATAAAATGTCGGGATCTAGGGGCCGTTGTCGGGAGAAATAAATATTAAAATGTTAAATAAAAAGTTTATTTTTTTAAATTAATAGGCTACAAAAAGACTTAACATTGTTGACACGTAACTAATTTACATACACTTAATTTTTAGATTGCCACGTGTATTTGGCATTGGACTTAATTAGAATCCATCAATTTGGATCCATTTGTATAGTATTCAGAAGAGATTTAAAATTCAAACAATTTACTTCAAAGTTCAGTCTAATTACTAACTCAGCTTTTAAAAAGTAAAAGTCAGCTGATTTATGAAGAGAAGCTTTTGGAATTGAGTTTTGTCTGAAGATAATTTAAAATGACGGGAGAATTCTGACGAATCCCGACCATATGGCAACCCTATAGTACTACATAATATTATCTCGATGTTTATATTTTGTATGACCATAAACAACATTAAGCACGCTACGCGACGTGTTGAATATGTTATTTAAGGAAAAGAATATATTAGGTATAGTATTACTAAGTATTTAAGTTATTAGTTTGTTATGCTTTCATCGCGTTGGGGCACATTTCATAAATATGATGTCTACTTAAGTTGACTTTTTAAAGAATAATTTAACAATTATAAAGGTGTGTGTACTGTACATTCAAATGCAAGGATTATTCTTAATTTCTAATGCGAAGATCATTAATTATTTCATTATGAAATATAAAATACAAATTTTCCTTAAGTTTAACTCTAGAACGGCACAAAGTACCTGCTTATAATAAGTATAGCTCTGATATTAAGTTAATATTTAAAACGTTTTCCTATACACACACACACACACACACACACACACACACACACACACACGCAAACAAACTTTCAAATAACCACAAATCATATATAAATAACTTCGCTTCAAATAGTTAATTAAAAGTCACTTCTTAATCAATCATATAACTCAAGAATCGATCGTTTCCATGCAGTTAAATCAACAAAAGGTATCGCGTCGTAGTCATAACAGCTGTATTTCGGGTTGTGAGCCGATTCCATCTCGAATGCCTTTCTCTGAATGTACTTGATTCCGTCAGTGTTGTCGCAAATCAATCGTGCCATAGACGCTTTCTTTATCTCTTTTAGCTGATCTGTGGAAGGAAGCTTCGGGTGATTAGTGGTTTTGGCGGAAATTTACGGCAAGCGGATTCTTCATTCAACTATAGTTTTTTTTTAAATAGTAAGGGTGATAGTAGTACCTTTGGTTCAGCTGTGGACTGGTGGTGGGCTGTAATGATGATGATGATGATGAAAGTTCACAAACGATCACATAATTCACCTAATAGTAAGTGGATATTGTGGTTCATAGATCATCGATTATAAATCAAAATACAGATGCGTTGTCACCCCGAGGACTAAGATGTTATGCTTCGTTTCCAGGAAAAAGGGTGTCTGGTTCTCCACACTCACCATACGAAACATAGCATGATGCTGGTATTCTGAGAACTTTATGTGGCACTTCAGCACCCTAAGGGGAGTTATAGGGTTAAGGGAGATAGTATGGCCGCAGTCTATATCTTTATTATACTGTGCTATGGCGATCTAAGTATCTATGGATAACAGAAGAGATAGAGAACAGAACAGAAATCAGCTACAATTAAAAGAAAAAAGACGCTATGTAGATACTCCAGTAGAGCACCCCAGGAGAATTCTAGAGTTCAAAGCAGATGCTGTGTTATGGGCTGGAAGAAACAACCCAGAATAAAATAAACGAAAGATTGTGTGATACTCCAGCATTCCAAGTGGAGTTCAATGTTTAAGAGAGACTAGATGGCTATTGGGTTTTAGAAACCTGGCACTAGCGAAATTCCATATAATCGTTACTCAATGTTGTTGTTAAACTTGCCTGGCGTGAAGGAATGCGGCATTTCCCCGTGATCGTAGAAAAATCTATCGCCGATCCGCGTCCGGTAGAACTGTTCAGCCACTATGCACTGAAACGTCTTGCCGAGGATAGAACCTTGAACAGTTTTCTCCATCGTCCCGCCGACGAACAAGTCTATATCGTCAACGCACTCGTAGATTTGTGAGAGTGCGTTTATGCGCTAAAAAAGTGTTTAATCTATTTAATAGAACACAACAAAATTATAAATAGTCTAGGAGTCGTGACGAATAGAAATAATAAAAATACAAATTTGGCTGTCTTGTAAGTCCAGTGGTTGTTCCCATGCCGTGTCGGGCTAAAAGCAATTTTACCTAATCAATTTTTCTGTCAAGAAATTCTCAGCCCGCAAACTGAGAAGTTGGCGGTGTTTCACTCCCGTGGCTCGGAAAGCATGTAAAATATAATAGAATATGTTTTATTCAATATAGATTACACGTAATTATTATTGAGTCTTTTTTTAAAAGTTCGGAAAAGGCCTGTGTCCTCGGAAGAACCTTTGTGATGGACCCAGTGGGACTTATTTCAAACGTAAAATTTTACAATTTAACACAGGTTGTACAAACAACTTACAATATAATATAATGAAATAGCTTGGAAGCGACCACCTCATTGTCAGGCGTTATTATTATCATAAAACCCCTTTTATACAGTTTTTGTTTAGTAAAATATTTAAACTTGGTGATAGAGAGAATACGTTTATTTTAAGGGCCTTGTTATATCGTATATACTATTGCTCTATGAATGAATTACTGACTGTGTGGAATCGAGGAATATATCACTAGTACATGTGTTTATTTCTGGTGTTTACGGAGTGTACACTTTTCTACTAAAACTACTTTTGTTTTTATGAACATTAAATATTCGTAAATATACTGAGAGGATAGTTAATATATTTATTTCTTTTAAATTATTCCCTTAGAGTTTTCTCTTTAAAATACCTCGTACCGTTTTACTAAGATTAGATTCAGATGAAAATATTATAAATTAACTATCTATTACCATACTTTCCCATGGCTATCGTAAGAAGCGAGGCGATAACAACACAAAATTATTAAAAACTGTCGTCACCCGCCTGAGTAACTTAACTATAACAGATCCCTCTCTATTAGTAGAGGGCTACTTCAGCAGTGGATTACAGGCTGTACTAATGAATGGAAATATCTATTAATTTTTATTTTTTCATATAGATACAATTTTCAACCACGACCCACAATTATTAGATTTTGGTAAATATTTGAGAAAACAAACTTACATCTTGCGGTATTTCTCCAGATAAGTCTTGAAAACAGTGCGCCCTTTTCAAACCGCACGTCTCTCTGAAATAAAATCGTCATTGTTATTGTTATACCTCCTTATTACATTATATACTTATTACATTTTGGTATGTTTTATTTTAAAATTAAAATAAAGGGAAATAATATATTTATTGATAATTAAACGAATTAAGTATTTATTGTGCGTTTAGGTCGTGGGGGAAAAAGAGGGTTTTGTACCCATAATAGTAATAAATAATCTACGAGGTAGAAGCCATTTTTTATAGAATGAGGGTGACAAACATGACAAAAGTCCAGCTGATGGTAAGTGGATGCTGTGGCTCATAGACACCTATATTCTATACTTGTTTCGAGTAAGAAAGGTTTACGGTTCTCTATACTCACCATACGGTACACATTTAGGTGCTATTTTACGTTGTTATTCTGTTAGAGGGTGGTCATTTTTCGGTCAAGCCAAGTCAAGTTACAAGCATAATATAGCTACATTATGGCTCTACTATGTTACGTAGCTTTGAAGATGGTAAACCAGTAGTTGCAGTACAGAATTTTTAGGTATTCAGGATGAAGATCAGCGTAAAATAACGCTGGTATTCTGTGAGAGCGTGTATCTTCCTCGGTCGATCCGACTAATTCATGCTATAACCATAATATAGCTGCAGCGTGGCTCTACAACGTATAAAATATTCACGTAAAAATGTCTTTATTTTTCATCAACGCCATTGTGGATCACAGAGTATTTTATATACAACGTGTGGATATTTTGGAGGTTTGTAAATGCGATACCTATATATTATGTGGCATGATTATATTGAGATATACGACCCATGCGGATAAGTCTTGGTTTTGTACTCTCCCGCACCACAATGTGATTTAAACATTTAAAAGGCCTTCGTAGTTTACACTATATAGAAATACTTAGTCATGTATGACTAAAGTTTTATATAAAAATATTTTTTAGTAATCATCACCGTCATCCTTACAAACCGTCACCATCTACTGCTGAACACAGTGACGGTGCATTATTATTATTAGTAAATACTAATTATTTTCTTAATAAGGCTGTCTAAAATTATCTAAGAAGTAATAACTTAAATAGTTAAAAAATTAATAAGCATAAAGTTAAAATAAATACATTTCAGACACTAAGTATTATATAGTAAACTAATGGCTTAATGTTAAAGGGAGTTGCCGGAGACGCATACCCAAGGGTGTACATGTATATGGGGTTGTCGGGTGACTGCTATAGTACTGTTGCACAGTGTATAGTCCCATATTAGGAACTTATGGTGGTAAGGTCTATGACACAAAAGTATTATTATAAAAGTTCTCTATGATGCAAAGCATTACAATATTATCTTCCCTCCCCAAACTGCCATAAAACACGATTCTGAACCATTTGCATCGGTAAGTCATTCCTTCTCGTGGGAAGCCGCTCTATACTCCGTTTACTGGTACCAACTAACATTCAAAAACCTTGTCAATTTTTATTAACACTGACCTATAATCATTGTATGACGCCAGTCCATGGTCCCTGCCTCTCTGTATGTCCATAGCGATGAGATCCATTCCCCATTTATTGTCGAGCTTGAACAGCAAGTTGGTGATCTCTCTCGTGCAGTGCGGGTCGGCTTCTGCAGCGCTCTGCGTCACGATGCCGCGGACGATCTCGTCTAATGAGTCCACCGAGGATTCGACTAAGGCAGGGTTGAAGTAGTAGTCGCTTAATCTGGGGAAGGCAATATAGTATTGAAAAACTTGTGTTTTTTTTATTGAATAAGGATATCAAACGAGCACTCAGTACATCTGATGACAAGTGGATGCTGTCGCCCATAGACATCTACATATATCCTCGATTAAGAATCAAAACGCAGACGTGTTGTCACCCCTGAGGAGCCTCGTTTCTAGTAAAAAAGGGTCTCCAGATCTCTACACTCACCATACGAAACACAGCAGCATTAAGCTGCTATTTTACGCTGGTTTACTGTGAGAGCGTGGTCCGGTCATTACTCATTCATGCTACAACCATAATATAGCTGCAGCTTAGCTCTACCACGTAAAAAAACACATGCTCGAATAGTAACGAACGATACGTATCGATTATAATTAATGTCTTACAATTAAAACAATGGCCCATGATGTCGATACCTAATCAGGTCGTGTAGGCAAAATTCTCGGCCTTATAAAGAAGCAAGGGTCAATAAAAAAGCAGGGTCAGTTTAAAATCATTAAAGAAAAGCTGTAGTTATCAAGGAATGCTAGAAATGAAAGAAATGGTACTACAGTGAAAGTTAATACAACAACAAATTTCAGATCTAAGATCGATCAGATGACGAACTGATTGTTGAACTGACCGTGTGTGTCGTCCATTAGAGTATTTAGAAGTAGTTCTAAACACTCTAAGGCTAGTGGCTACTTTCCATTGGAAGGACTGCAAGTTTGTCTCTAAAAGATTAAATAAAATCCAAATCCAAAAAAAAAGCGTCGTGTCCTCACTTGTACATGTAGGCGCAGTGATAAGTGGCGGGGCAGGTGAAGAAGGAGTCCGGCACGACGGAGTGCAGCGAGCGGAACGCGGCCGCGAACGCTCCCACCACGGCCGGGTTCACATCCGGGTTGTAGTCGCGGCTGTACAGCGTGCTCGGCGTGATGCGGTAGTACCGGAGGTAGTTCTCGCCTGTATCAAGTTGGGTTTATGAAGCCGACGTATACGATTCGCAGATTTACTCGTATTTCAATTGGAGCCAACATTTGTGCAAAACACGCTGCTGTACTCGTATCTGATAATTTTTTTTTTCACTCAGTGATTTATTATATCATTTATGAATACAACGCATTAAAAAAAGAGAGATATCCACTACGCCATTATCCCGTGGGTATCGTCAGAAGCGACAGAGGGAAGAGAAATAGGAGATGGGCAGAAGCATGTTCCTGGTAACAAATCAAAATATAAAAAAATGCGATTTCCAACGCGCTTGCCAAGTGTGGTGACTGACAAATACCCTCCTTTTGATGATCCAGCCGTGGACTTTTGATATGCTGCAATGAATGAATGAATGAATAGAAAAAATATACATTGAATAAACTAAAATTCACTTATTTTAAAATCCGGCAACCGCGCCATGGGTGTGGAACATCTTAGTTGCTCCGTAATCATTGGTCAAAATGTTAAAATAACAACAGACAAAAAATGTGATTTTTTATAGAATAAGGATCACAAACGAGCACACAGCCCCCCTGATGGTAAATGGATGTTATGGCCCATAGACATCTACATTTATCCACGATTAAGAATCAAAACGCAGATGCGTTGTCATCCCTGAGGACTAAGAGGGAATTCCTCGTTTCCAGTAAAAAAGGGTCTCCGGTCTCCGGATCACTACACTCAACATACGAAACATAACAGTGTTAAGCTGCTATTTTACGCTGGTGTTCTGTGAGAGCGTGGTCCTGCCCCGGTCGAGCCGACCCATTCGTGCTATAAACATAATATAGCTGCAACATGGCACTACCACTTATGAAATGTTAAAATTAAATGCCGTAAAATGAGGTACATTTAATGTTCATCTTCAATTCAACTCCCGTTTACGTTGAACCCCCAGTTTACTTGAAACTCCTGTCCCACTCATTTCCGGCAACCTAACCTAACCTACATCTACGTTACAAACACAATAATGGTTATGGAAGAGTAATAGACCGTCAGAGCCGGTTTCCGTATACGTCTACTTTTTGGACGGCGATTAGGTAAAACACTAGCACCTTATAAACGATCTGACAATTGGCCACGAACTAAATCATCATATTCACAAAAATAATTACGTATTTCCACCTTTGTACAGCTCGCGGCTTCAAGGCCGTTTGGAGAATAAATTTCAGGCTGGACAACTTACTCGGGAGGTTTACCCTTCGTATGCGTTGACGCTTAGAATTGAGAAATAAATTCACGGAGGATTTATGCAATAACCGGCAAAATTTGCAAAAAAGGTTCGGAATAAGTAATATAGGCAATTGGTGAAGAAAAATAAAATTAAAAAAAAAAGATTCTGTCCTTTTTATCTTTTAAATTCAAAATGAATGGTAATGCATTATTACACACATTTATTTAGGGTCGATCGGTAGGCAAAACGTTGTTGTCCATAAATGACATTCAATTTGTGATAATTTCAAATAAAAGTAATTAAAAACATCTATTTACAATTCCCCGGGAGGAAGTAACAATATGATTGATGGTGAATTCTGTGAAAAGTGATCGATTCGCTGATGGATTTCACAAGTATTCATTTCGTGATCATAATGGTATGTATTACACAACACTAGCTTGAACTTAAGAATTCAAATTCAATTAAAATGGCATAACTGTGCCAAGCAGAGAAGATAAGCAAAACTTTCCAGACAAAACAGCAGCTTACCGAAGTTCAAAGGCAGCCACTCCTGGTAAGTGATATGCTGTATTTCCGCGATGACGATCCTCCGCGCTTCCTGGTATATCTTCTCGTCTGTCCATAGCGGGTTAAGCGAGCTCAGGATGTCCGCAACTCTGTTATGTTCCCGAAGGAGAAGAGTATGAATCACGGCTAACGTTGGGGTCTGGTTAACTCTGCGGTCACCTACAAATTAAATGTTTATAACATAATTCCATATTTAACGGTAGACGCCGAAATAACCACAGATGTAATTAGACATAGGACTATAGATATCTTCGTTCTTTATCAAGTTTCTTCGATTTTATACATAAATGGAACCGACGAATATGAACGTGGTGCAGCTATGTTATGGTTATAGCACGAATGGGTCAGCTCGACGAGGGAAAGATCACGCGCTTACAGAATACCAGCGTAAAGCAGCAGTTTAATGTTGCTGTGTTACGTATGGTGAGTGTAGAGAACCGAAGACCCTTTCTACTGAAAACAGGTCATTCTATCTCAGTCCTCAGGGGTGATAACGCATCTGCAGTTTATTACTTAACTGAGGATAAATGTCTATGATCTATAAATATGTCTATGGGCCACAGCATCTGCTTACCATCACTATCACTATTTATTTGAATTAGAATTTAAAAACATATATTTTCTTTTATATATTCCGCGTCGCATTATAGCATGTGCATTGAGGCAGCCGTCCGAGTTACGTCGGAGTGCGGGCTGGACTGAAAACCAGTGTCGGGATCAGAGCAATTCGTGTTTCTGTATCTCGATTTTTACTGAGTCCTGACCATTTCACGGTCTTATGCTGCTACACAGACTCATTTTATATTATTTTTACATTTTTGTTAATTTAGGGAAATATTGTTTTATTTTTTGTTTAATTCCAATTTCTTGCTTTGTTTTGTATCTACTGTGATTAGACCGTGAATAAATGCTTTTCTTTCTTTCTTTCTTTCATCAGGTGGACTGTATGCCCGTTATTCGCCCGTATTATACAAAAAGGAACCTACTAAAGCCTACTGTGTGACGCAGTCTTTTAGAATGCTGTTGAAATAGATCTAAAGAATTTTTGGATAAAAATAATGTAATATATAAACATTAATATTCGTCTGTTCGTATTTTATGCGCTGCCATACCGTTCATCAGATTGCAGTAAAACTTTGTCATCATATTGCTTAAATTTCCGGGAAGATTATAGGCATAGTTGGACCCGGTAGGTGGCGTTGTTGTAGAATCCAGATATCACCCGTGCAAAGCCGGCGCAGATCGCTAGTAGTATAAAAATTTACTGACTTTTATGCGAGTACGAAGAGTAATCTTGTCTGTTGTAGTTGACAGTAAAGCTGGTAAAGCCCTACCTCGTTCGCTTTGCTTTCGAAGTGTACATGACATGTTGTAAGTAATTTGTTATACTTTAATAGATAAGGATATTTTGTTTTCAGTTGAAAAATATTAACTGCCATAACATTAGATGGAGTTTAGAGCCTTCGGGACGAAGTAAAGCAGTAATATTCTCTTACCATCCCATGACTGCCTCATTGGTGTAATAATCGAATGCGCAACTGCTGATTATGTAGTCCGTGGTCTGGCCTTAATCAATTATAAAGTAAAAAAACACGCGATATAAAAGAATTACAGAGTATTCGTGTGAAATCAAACCAGGCCCCTATTTGAGCTACTGCTGTACTAAGTGACAGCAGCGCTAATTTTCAGTTATCGAGTTTCTTTGTTAAGAAATTCTCAGTCTAACCCGAAGTAGGCGGTGCTTTATCACTGTGCCGCAGAAAGCACGTAGTCCTGCGCCTGATCTCCCTCCGGTCATGTCGGATGCCGCACCATCGGACTATAAGAGTGATGTAATAGAGGGCGCACCGTGAATCACACATCGTGAATTATAATCCACATAGATTTATTATAAACTATATCTATGATAATGATTTTGCGCGGTAGAGCCAAGCTGCAGCTATATTATGGTTGTAGCACGAATGGGACGGCTCGACCGGGGAAGGACAACGCTCTCAAAGAATACCAGCGTCAAATAGGTGCTAAATGCTGCCGTGTTTCGTATGGTGAGCATAGAGAACCGGACACCATTCGTACTGGAAACGAGGCATTCTATCTTAGTCCTCAGGGGGGAAAACACATCTGCATTTTAAGTCTCAATCGAGGATAAGTGTAGATGTTGATGTGATGAACTGTGTGCTCGCTTGGAACCCCAATATGATTAAAAAATCCAGTTATAAGGAAAGTCTATTTTACAAACACAGACCACCATCCAAGTACATAGCCAAGTTGCCTCAATATAAGGTCTTGAGTCAGAGACCAAAGATTAATGACTCATATGTAGTACCTGGATTATAGCATTTTTAAATTACCAGCAAAATAACAAGGATCCGAAGCGTTCCTCAAATCGCACGTCTTAGGATCAGTTGCGGGCAAGAATCCTCGTTTGCAGCCGAATTTCGTCCTCTCCTTTAGTCTGCCGCCACTTTTCTCCCTCAACTTAGAAGCGAGCATCGGATCTGATCCATAAATCGGAGAGCCATCGAGGAAACTCGTCACGGTATTCATCTGTATTGAATTATTTTTACTTATTTATATATTAAGAATCTCCATCAAAAGATACACATCATTACGTTAATAAAAACTAGGATTTTTTTAAAGTTAGCGTGCTCTTTCAATTAAAGGTGACCCCAGCATTCATTATCTAAGTAACAAAAGACATATGGCTGCAGTGTTACTAAAAAAATACATCAATTATCAATTAAAATAATTTTTTTTATACATAGTACCAGTATATCTATAGAGTGACTCAGTTTCAGGTATATTATGGTTGCAGCACGAATGGGTCGTAGCGGAGGACGGACACCCTCTTACAGAATACCAGCATAAAATAGTAACTTAATGCTGCTGTGTTTCGTATGATTAGTGTAAATAAACTCTTTACTTGTAACGAGGCATTCGATCTTACTCCTCACGGATGACAACGCATCTGCATTTTAATTCGTAATCGAGGATAGATGGGCCACATCAAGCACTTACCGTCAGGTGGACTGTGTGCTTGTTTGTCATTCTATCCTATAAAAAAAATTCACATTTTTTGTCTGTGGTTTGTAAGGGTGTCACTGACACCTAGTTTAATAATTTTGGAAATCTTGTTGTGTTGCCTTGCCTACAAAGCTTTTAAAAATAAATAATTTTACTTTAGAAAATATTGAGATTTAAAAGTACGCTTCCTTTTTATGTAGAGAGAGTAAGGGTACAGAGTAAATAGAAGTAACGGGCACACAGATTAACGTATTGGTGTTTGCTCTGGCCCAGACAAGTATCCTCAATAATTATTGATTTTCTATCCGACTCATGACGCATGACACAATTAATCATGATATTGTATCATTCATTTTCACTATAACATCTAAATGTCTACTGATGAACAAAGGCCTCTCGCATAGAGTGCAGGTGCTGCCTTATAGCAGGGAATATTTTGTCATAGCTGCCATATATATATACTTACTTACTTACTTACTTACTTACTTATCTTCACGCACAATCCCTAACGGGGTAGCCAGAGAGAACAGATCGCCAAGTGTCACGATCCTTGCATACCTCTTTCGCTTCTTTCAGGTTCATTAACTTCTTCATACATGCACGTCTAGGTATCCGAGTACTCTTGACCTTCCCCTCTTCGAGCAATTTGCTCACATGGTCTTCGAAAGTTAGTCTCGGTCTACCTCGACACCTTTTAATATTTACTTTCGCTCTATATATTTTTTCACCATTCGGTCTTCACTCATTCGCTCAACGTGCCCAAACCATTGGAGTACGCCCCTATCAATTTTTGTGATAAGGTCATCTTTCAATCCTGCCATATTGCGAATCTCTTCGTTTCGCTTTCGATCGGCTATGGTAACGCCACACATTTTACGAAGAGATCGCATCTTCACTGCATTCAACTTGCTTTTGTGCTTCTTCTAGTATACCCAGGTTTCGCTGCCATATAACAAAGTCGGTACCAACACTGCGTTATGTAGTGCAAGGCGTGCACTCTTCACCACGCCTTGCCTTTTGACTAATGCATTCAGGGCACCATTGACTTTGTTTCCGGCAGCGACACGCCTATCCACATCTAAATCACATTTTCCATCCCGGCTGAAAGCACTCCCCAAGTATACAATTTCATTTATATATATATATATATATATATATATATATATATATATATATATATATATATATATATATATAACTACAGTTGTACAACCAGTGCGTGTTGCCAGTGATGACCTACGGAACCGAGACGTGGTACTTCACTGCTGGCCGTATGAGGATGCTCAAAGTCGCTCAGCGAGCTATGGAGAGGGCTATGCTCGGGGTTTCTCTGCGTGATATACTTAGAAATGAGGATATCCGCAGTAGAACCAGAGTGACCGACATAGCCCAATGGATTAGTAAGCTAAAGTGGCAATGGGCCGGCCATATAGCTCGAAGAACCGACAGACGTTGGGGAAAAAAGGTTCTCGAGTGGCAGCCTCGTACCGGTAGACGAAGTGCAGGGCGACTCCGCACTAGATGGAGTGACGATCTGGTAAGAAATGCAGGAAGTCGATGGATGCAGGTGACTCAGTACCGTTCTTTGTGGCATACCTTGGGGGAGGCCTATGTTCAGCAGTGGACTTGTGAAGCACTGTAATGATGAATGATGATGATGATATAACTATATAATATGTTACCTCTACAGTGGAATTTTCTTCTGTATCGTGGGAGCAGTTTACATACTGTTACGAGCTTAGGATTCGTGACAGTAAAAACTGCTGATTGAATTACCAAATTGACACTTTAATTACCGAACACCAATTACAACTTAAAACACACTAATAATTAATCACACTTAACACTTTAGTTCCGCAGTTATATCGCTTAGAAGTATTCGTTGTATCACCACTTTAGTACTGACTCGGGTCGCGGTCAATACCAGTTTTCTATAGGACCTTTTTCACTGAAACATCTAGAATGTTCGAGTAGTTATCGGTCCCAACCGACTAGGTGTAGAAAGTTCCTTCTAGTTCTGCCACTCGATACTAGATGGCGCTAGTGGGAAAGTTCTAGTATGGAATTTTCTAGAAAGCTTTTCTAGTTTTGCTACTTGATACTAGATAGAGCTATTGGCATCAATCATAGCTTGCAACAATACCTACATATGTTTTACAAAGACAAATATCCAGACCCATTACGATTATTTGTAGGCAATACAAATACTTGTTCCGTTCAGGATTCAAACCCGCGGCCCATGCTAAGCCACTGCACCACGGAGCCGTCATGAAATAACACGTCACTAATAACTTTTTCCTTTTTTAAAGTCAGAAACTGCACATTCAGATTTCTTTAAACTTACCTGTTCCGCGTAGCCCAAGCTACAGTCGTCCCTGGGTGTGGTGACACTCCTAACGAAGTTGATGCATCTGACACCGTAGTGCCGGTAGAACGGGTCGTCTTCTGGCACACAGATTGGAATGCACTTGTCGTTCTGCCATTCTGAGGGGAGAACCTCTTGCCCATTCCCAAAGCAGCACTGGATTCCTCCTTCATCTTACAATCAATAGTTTTGTGAGTTTTAAAATTTATCATTACCCGCCAACACCGCTATAGTTTGTTGATGAACGTAGGCCTCTCTCACACGCAAGACTCGGAGCATGTCACTTGCCCCAATCATCAGCTTTACACAATCAGTTTCTTATACACTTTCCACTGCTGAACATAGGCCTTCCCCATAGATTGCCTCTTGGGTGGAGTCTACCATGGTTGCCACGCATGGCAAACACTTTCTTATTATTTGAATTGTTATCAGGAAGATGGGCATCTTCTGTTTCAGTATACCTCTGTCGCCTCTAACAAAACCAATTTGAAGATAAGGGCCAGTTGATATTCTAACAGCGCCACTATACAGATAATAAACTTCTAATTGATATTGAATTGTAAAAATGAACAATATAAGCCGGTGATATCTCTGGGCTACCACTGCCTAGTTTTGCCACCTTTTTTTGAACAAATATAGTATTTTCCCAAAAAGATGCAAATATATAGCATTTTTGAGAAATTCAGGGGCAAAAAAGTACACATTTATTTTTAATCTTTATGTATTTTCTATATATATATATATTTGTTATTGCTCCTTGCTTTGGCCATCAATGATCTAACCACCTCACCGTCTATCTTACCTTTAAAATATTTATAGGAGTCTGAGCAATTTCGACTCCTATAAAAATAAATTAAAAATTATTTTTTAAGTTAATTAATCTTTTTCTTTTTCTTTCTTTTTTCAATTTTACATTCACTATGGAAAAATTCTTTCCGCAGAACTTACTTGTTCCAGACTTACAATAAAAAATAGCGCGACAGTTGAATTACGGATAAAAGTATTATATATTTCGTACTTTATTATTTTTCTATAATACATATATAGTAAAATTGACTGAAATTTAGTACGATACTATATATTTATATTATTTTTTATATTTATACTATTTAGTACGGGTGGCAACCCTACCACTGCCCCTTGCTTTGGACGGACCACGCTGTTACAGGTTAACAACAACAACCCTCTTCATTATTGCTCCCGACAAATCAGTGCATGCACTGCTGCTCCGGTCTGAAGGGTATTGAGCGCTAATATAATTACAGGCTTTGAAGCATTCCATCTTAGTCCTCAGAAGTGACAAAGTATCGGTAGCCTTTCTTGTTTGAAGTTGGCTGCAGGTGTCCGTGGACTTCAGCAACCAATTACCATTAGTTGTTCTGGTCGTTTGCCACTTCAGTTTAAACAAGTGGTAAAATTAAAACATTTCGTACAATCGACTTCATTATAAATAAAATGAAAACATAAAAAAAAGTTCTGAGGTAATACACATTAAAAAATACGGTAGAATTGAGTACATCCTCCTTTTTAAAGTCAGTTAAAAATAACATCGCAGAATAACAGCGCAATGTTGTGTCGCGTATAATGAGTTAATGAGTCGAGACCCTTGGTCGGCGGGTTGGGAACAGTAGTTTTCCTTTTTTTAGTGGTTAATAGCAAGACTCTGCTGCCCATCTCCTGATTTGTTACCTTTTATCGCCACTATGACTAGGGTTACCACCCGTACCATAATATACTATACTATATCGTACTATATTTCAGTCAATTGTACTATATATTAAAAAAAAGTAATATAGTGCGAAAAGCACTACATTTTTATCCCTAATTCAACTGCCGCGCTTTTTTGTATTCACTGTAATTTGAAGTCTGGAACAAGTAAGTTTTACGGAACGAATTTTTTCCATCATGAATGTAAAATCGAACGAAAAAAGATGAATAGCATGTATTCATTTAATTAAAAATTGTTTGTTAATGTATTGTAATATGAATCTAAATTGCTAGACTCCTATAATTATTTTGAAGGTCTGTCATTGATGGCCAAAGCAAAGAGCAATAACAAATATATATGAAAAAATACATAGATTAAAAATAAATGTGTACTTTTTTCTTCGGAATTTCACGAAAGTACTATATTTTTTCATCTTTTTTGAAAAAAAAAAACATATTTGTTCAAAAAAAAAAGGTGGCAACCGGCTTACGACACCTACGGAACGATATGGGGTAAAAAGTCCTTTTCAAGTCTTACCATTAACCTCCATCGCCTGCGACAGCAGATCATGAGTTACGAATTGTCCCCACTGCATGTTCATGTAGGTGAGAGTCCGACTGGGTATCGGCCGGTCGGCAAAGAGTTCTGTTGACAGAACCCTGGCATTCGGCAGTTGTCGTCCACTCTTCGCTACAGGCATAGCGTATATTCCTAAAACACAAGCAATTCACAGTGACACTAGCCTAATGATTAATGGTACAGACTTCTTGAGTAAACTATTGGTAGTTTGTACAACCGACTTCAATATAAATAAAGTGAGAACATCATTAATGTAATCGAAGTCAATTAAATACGCATTATTAAGGATAACTCAAAAATTACTGGTCAGACGTTGATCAAATTTATATGGGACCACCCGAAAACCATCAGCATTCAAATAAAAAAGAATCATCAAAATCAGTTTACCCAGAAAAAAATTCTGCGGTAACACATAAAAAACATACAGTCGAATTGAGTACCTTCTCCTTTTTGAAGTCGGTTAAAAATAGTAGGTCCTAGCCCCTGCTATGGGTTGGCTTCACCAGGTAGGGTCACGTTTTTGCGAATATCATAATACCTAGTACCCGGATGACCGACCTTTGCTCGGTTTTTTTTTTTGAAATTACATTTAGATACAAATTACATACTGATGAATAATATTTTTTGATCTTATTGACATAATAGAAAAAACTGAACCGGTTATTTGAATAAAAAATCGTGATTGCAATTAGTTTAATTAAAAATTTTGTATTTTTAAAAAATACCTAAAAGAGGGCTCGAAATAATAGATTTTCTCACAAAAGAAGGGAACTTGAAAAAAAAGGAATAAAAATCGGACCGAAGACAGGACGCGAATCAAGGCTTTACGATTTTGCAACCGCTCGATATCCACTTGAGCTATTACGATCATTAACACAATATCAAAATTTACCTTCTTATATTGTAGCAGTTTTTCATTGCCTGAAAACGCGGACAAAAAAGACATTTTCAAAAAATGGGAGTTTGGGGGTAAAATAGGTAGATCGTTTATTGCCCCCCGAAACTCCCTGGACACAAAATTTTATGAAAATCGTTGGAGCCGTTTCCGAGGTACAGATTATATATATATATATATATATATATATATATATATACATATATATTTTTTTTTCCACAAGAATTGCTCGTTTAAAGGTATAAGATATAATCAACGTAAAATAATAGCAGAAATGAAGGCATCTTGATTTCTAATTGACGACAGACGCAGGCCTAGTTGGTTTGAAGATTGCTGCTGTTCCTGCACTGTAGTAGCCAGTTACCATCGGGTCGACGGTAAATTCGTTTGTCAGTCGGTTTTATAAAAAAAAAAAACGGGACGGTGTTCTGGTTTGTCACATTTAATTCTACAAAAAAATAACCGGTTCCAGCCCGGTCAAGTAAATATAAAATAGTGTGCATACCGTCACTGTAACGCGGTGTAGCGATCCTTGAGAAAGGAGCGCCATTGCGCCCCCAACCAGGATGTTTCATGTTGTTTGAAGTACCGTCAATGCTACGGTATTTGGACTTGCGGAACGGGATCTTCACAGGTTTACAATATGCCAAGTCAGTAACTCTGATGTCTTGATCCTCCAATATAGACATGAACGTATTTGGTGAAATATCCCAACTGAAAAAGGGTTTAAAAATTTTAAAATTTCTGTCTTTATAATTGTTATGAAGATAATAAAATTTGGAATCACCAGCATTTGTCCACTGTTAGAAATGCTCCACTGCTTTAATAAAATAAAAATAAAATTGTATCGTACCAAAAGCCACTACCCCATATCATTTCTTGGATGACGTAAGAGGTTTTCTACGTGGTAGAGCCACGATGCAGCTTCATTATAGTTGTAGCACGAATGGGTCAAACGCCAAACACCCGGCGTGGGGATCTAGAGTGATCAACCCGCCGTGTCATGCACTGTTTTAAGACGCCGAAACACACGGCTGTGACGTCTTAGGTCCCGAAGAACCCACACACGTTCCGACTGATCCACGGAGTCGTCCGGATGTATTGGACATCGTGCTCTCTAGGAACGTCAACTACCCGATAGTGGTAGAGGTGCTGTACGACCTGAACTCACAGCACCTCCCGATCTTGATTTCCCTTGGCCTAAAGGTGGTGACTACGCCGCCCAGAGCATTTACGACTCCTGTCGACTGGAGGCTCTACCATCAACGTCTGCAGAAGAGACCTCCAGCACAGCATCCTTTAAGCACAGCGGACGACGTAGAGGCCGCTGCTACCAGAGTTACTAAGGCTATACAAGAGGCCCTCCACGCTGCCTCTACGATCGTCCCGATTACTGCAAGGAGAGATGATCTGCCGCTACAGATAAGCGTGCAGATTAGAAAGAAAGAGCGTTGAGGAGGCTCTGGGCGCGTACTCGCTACCCGAGAATCAAAACGCAGCTGAACATCTTGTCGGAGAAACTGTCGGTTACAGTCCAGGCACACAGAGGAGATGCCTGGGAGCGACGCATATGGAAGGCGGAAGAGCATGATGCGTCGCTTTACAAACTGAACCGACAGTTAACTAAAGCCAAACCTCCCGTTTTCCTACTGACCAACAATGCGGGCGAACGTCGTTACGATGCCAAGGGTAGAGCGGATATCCTAGGAGAGCACTTCGAGGAGCAATTTATGCCGAATCCAGCAAGTGCGGAGTTCATGGACCATCATGCCCGTAAGGAGAGTCGCGTACAGGGGTTCCTGTCGTCGCCCGCGCCGCCTCTGGCAGGAGAGTGGTTCATCTCCCCCGCTGAACTGCGCAGGACATTGCGGACATCCCACTTCCCGGAGGACTGAAAGAAAGGCAAAGTTATCGTCTTGCCGAAACCCGGGAAAGACAGGCGTAGAGCTGCCAGCTACAGGCCGATCACGCTGCTACCGCACATAGCTAAACTGCTTGAAAGACTGTTGCTAAGACGCCTCCGTCCAACTTCGGGCGGAGCAGCACGGATTCAGGAGGAATCACTCTACAGCAACACAGCTGACCAGAGTGCTGCACCTGCTTGCGGCCGAGTACAACCGTGGCCGCACTACGTTGGGCGTCTTTCTCGATATCGAGAAGGCGTTCGACAGGGTGTGGCATTCTGGACTGCTTTATAAATTGGAAGAACAGACCAGTGTCCCCCCTACTATATTGCGGCTAGTGGCGTCCTTCCTGGCAGACAGGAAGTTCTACGTCCGCGTAGAAGACGCCGTGTCCGCAACCAGAACCATCAGCCGGCGTTCCTCAGGGCAGCTGTTTGTCTCCACTCCTGTACGCGGCTTATACCAACGATATCCCGACACTGGCAGGAAGGCTGCAAGAGTGGGAGGATGGGACGCTTATTTCACCTCGTCCAGAAGAGCCCACATTGCCACTGCCAGGATGCAACGTCTGCTGGACTTGCTGCCACCATGGCTAAATGAGTAGAGGATGGTCATCAACGTTGGTAAGACGACCGCTCTGCTCACCCGCCGCCTCAGGAACCTACCACCTCCGTTAACCCTCAATGGCCAGAAGATTGTGTACGAGAAGGCCGTGACCTACCTTGGGTGCCGGATTGACCGGGTGCTGCGCATGACTGCGCACGTCGACTTCGTCGTCCGCAGAGCACGATGTGCGCGGGCGATGCTCCGTCCGGTCCTGGCATCCAAGCTGCCACTTAAAACAAAAGTGAGATACAAAATGTATATAAGACCGATCATCACCTATGCTGCTCCGGCCTGGTACGCGCTTCTGAGCGAGCCTCTGAGGCGGCGACTGCAGGCCCAGCAAAATTTGGCGTTAAGAACCATTGTCGGAGCGGGTCGCTACGTCCGGAATGACGTTATAGCGGCCAACCTGAAAATCGAAACCATCCAGGAGTTTGTGGTCCGGTTGGCGCGCGGACTGTTCGACCGTGCAGACAAAGGGCCACACATACATCTAAACCACCTAGCGCCGCAACACACTCGCCTTCCGGACGGGCGACCCTATCCAAGAGAACTCCTCTCTATATCGATTAGGGAGTCGAGTAACAACCCTCAATGCCGCAGATGGGCCAACCTTGACTTTTCACCGGACAACCTCCTTTTTTCGTAGTCTTAACCGACTACGAAAAATTTACCGACTACGCACTAAATCCGTTTTTAACACCTAAACGCCTGAATAAGGCTCCCAGGACCGACCCATAGTAGTAGACCGCGAGGACAATCCGGGTAATGGGGGCATACCCCGAGGCCCGAGACCTGCAGGACCCCCACAGTCCATGCGGAAGACAATACGAGACGAATGGGTCAAGAAGCTCCTAGGTGTGAGTTGTTTGTGTTTAGCAGTGAGCACATAGAACCGCCGATACGACATACTCCACCGATCGTCGAGTCCGCTGATTCCGTGAGGCGTCGAGGTCACCGGCCCCTAGGCAGATTCTTGGCGCTTTAAGACGCTCGCGTCTATTGTGCCTAGTCGCGTTATTAAAGTGTCACCACCGCACTTCCCCCAACCCTTTTATGATAAAAGTGGTAGGCAGTGCCCACAGTGAGTAAGACAATTATCATCATCCCCACCATCCGCGTCGCGCATCACCATCCGCTGCCAATCGGCTGGTTATTTTAGATAGGGCCTTCTGATTACCACTGACTGAGTTAGGTAGGGAACCATGTCAGGTAATGATAAGGGGGAGCCCCCCCCCCTAAGTCAAGAAAACCACCGGATCGTCCCGGCGTACTGGAGAGGCCTCTTGCCTATAGGGACATTTTCAATCCCAAAAGGACAAGAGTAGTGCCCTCCTACTCGCAAATCCCGACCCGGAAGCATTCGTCGCCGGGTGAAGAGCCCGTACCGAGGGCCGCACTCTCGCCCATCGTACCTGAGTGTACGACTGGGCGTGAACCGTTGCCCTCTCAAGAGCGAGCAAAGAAGGCGCCACGAAGGCACACACCACCCGAAACCGATGCCTCCCTCCACGAGAAGAGGCAGCGCATCGGTTCTCACGATCCAACGCTATCGGAATCATCATCACCACCATCATCGGATGATGAGGAGCCCCAACCGGCGACTAGGAATAAGGTCCATACCTCACCTCCTAAATCGCCATCACCACCGCAACGACCACCATCCATCTCTCCGGACCGGCGCAGTCACGACTCGGCCCAATAAGAGCAAGGAGGTGAGGAGTCCTACAGCTGGGGCTCCACAACCTATGCGACCCTAGCTGAATCCGCCGGAAGATCATCCCCGGTGCAGATCACCAACCCGTCCGGGTTATCACAAGATGACGGACAGCGGCCACCAACGAGCTATGCCCACATGGCTGAGGCCCCCGCAATACCACGACCACAATCGGTGGAAGAGCCACAAAAATCTGAAAAAGAAAAGGAAAAAACGAGATATCCGCCGATTGTTGCTGAATGCCTCCCGGAATGGACCAGGCATTTCGAGCTCAACAGAAAGTTGGGCCACCCTCCTAATGCCCGTCCTTTCGGGAAGGGTGTAAGGTTCGCACCCCAGAGTCCGGAGGAGTTCCGAACAATACAAAAATACATGATCGAACTCTCCAAGAAACTACCAACCATGTCGTGGTATTGCTATACCCCGGCAGAAGAGAAGCCCACTAAAGTGGGCATCCGGGGCCTGCCAGTGGGCACGGATGCCGAAATGATTGAGGAGGCTATCCGGGCAAAAGGCTTCCCCATTCACCTACGTGAAGGCCATACCACCACGTAGAGGCACACCGGGCTGCCTCTACTATGCACAGCTAGAGCATCTGAGCCTGGAGCGGGTACAAGACCTGTACCGGACTGACGAACTCCTCTATATGAGGGGAGTAGTCATCGAAGCCTGACAGAGGAAAACAGGACCGGCACAATGCCACCGTTGCCAGGCTTTCGGCCACGCCTCCGCAAACTGCTTCAGGCCAGTGAAATGCGTTCGCTGTGCCGGGGAGCATACTGCTAGCCTTTGCCCAAGGGGTAGAGAGGAAGAGCCAAAGTGCGCAAATTGTGCAAAAAACCATACGACCAACGATCGCCGCTGCCCAGTCCTGAGGAGCATTGCTAGGAAGCAGGGGATCGTCCTACCTGGGCTACTCCCGGAGAACCCTAAGAGGATCCCCCAGAGTCGCCCAAATGCTGTCACCATCCAGGAGGATGGGTGGACCACAGTCACCAGAGAAAAGGGTAGGCAACCAGCCCCCACCCCACCCCCCTCGTACAATACCAATGGAAATGGTGGAACCCACAGAACAAAGGGCAACCACCGGGGCGACTCTCCAACCTCCTGCCAACAACGCCACGGAGAGGCAACCTTCCCAAAGGAAGAGGCGGAGGAACAGAAGCAGGAAAACTGAACAGCCCCCTCCTCAGCCTGTAGGTACCTCTACCCCTACAACAACAGGACCGATAGCCTCACAGGCGCAGGTTACTGAGAGACCACCACCGAAAAACATGATGGGTAGAGCGCCAGAAAGGGCTCTACCAAAAAGTAGAGCCCGCTCTACATATAGAGCGTGCTCTACATATAGAGCGCGCTCTACACAGAGACATAGAGAGACCACCACAAATGCTCCGAGAACAGCGCCTCACAACAACGTAGACCACCAACGTCAGGCCTCGAGAGAGCTGATACCATCCACAGATTGGTAGGCATAGCTATCGAGGTCGGTACACAAGTCCTGGCCGACATTAGGGCCGGGACAGATCCAGTTACCGCCGTTATGAAGGCACTGGCATCGCTACTGGCAAGGCACTACGGAGGACAGTAACCTGCGTCTGCTTTACTAGAACCCGGACGGCATCCAACAAAGGATCCATGAACTCCCCACGGTCGCCCAGCAGCAGGACATCCAGGTGATCTTGCTGGGTGAAACCAAAATTAGACCATCAATGCATCTTAAGCTGCCAAACTATACGATCTATAGGAGGGTCGAAGTCAATCCTCAAGGGATCGCTTACAGAGAGACAGCGATTCTAGTGAGGAGAGACATCGTCCACCAAGAACTGGACCTACCAGACTTCCAGACGATACGTTCATACGGCATAAAAATGGAGGCGGCGGGCGAGGAACTAAGGATTTTTGCAGCATACCGGTCATTCTACTCCTCAGACATCCGGACGGTTATGGAAGGTACGACACCCACCATCATCGCCGGGGAACTTAACGCCAAACACCCGGCGTGGGGATCAAGACTGATCAACCCGCCGGGTCGTGAACTATATGATGACGCAGAAAGCCAGAACTATGATGTTCTAGGTCCCGAGGAACCGACGCACATCCCTACTGACCCTAGGAAGCGTCCGGATGTATTGGACATCGTGCTCACTAGGAACGTCAACTACCCGGTAGTGGTAGAGGTGCTGTACGACTTAAATACACAGCACCTCCCGATTCTGATTACCCTTGGCACTAAGGCAGTGACTTCGCCGCCCAGAGCCGTTAAGACCAAGATCAACTAGAGGCTCTACCACCAACAACTGCAGGAGAGACCTCCAGTCCACACACCGATCCACTCGGCGGACGACGTAGAGGCCGCTGCTACCAGAATAACCACGAGCATCCAGGAGGCCCTCAACGCGGCCTTTACGATCGTCCCTCTCTCGGGAAGAAAAGAAGAGCTGCCGCTAAACATACGCGTGCAGCTGAGGCATAAAAGAGCGCTGAGAAAGCTCTGGGCGCGCACTCGCTGCCCCAGAATAAAAACAAGACTAAACACCTTAACGGACGAACTGTCCTATGCAATACAGGCCCACAGAGGAGAGGCTTGGGAGCGGCGCATTTGGAAGGCTGACGAACATCCAGCGTCGCTCTACATATTGAACCGGCAGTTAACGAAAACCCGAACACCTGTTTGCCCGCTGATCAACAACGTGGGCGAACAACGTTATGATGCCAAGAGCAAATCGGATATCCTAGCTAAGCACTTCGAGGAGCAGTTTATGTTAAACCCAGCAAGTGCGGAGTTCATGGAAATCTACACCCGGAAGGAGAGCCGCGTGCAGGAGTTCCTGTCGTCGCCCGCGCCACCGCTTGCAGGAGAGTGGTTTATCTCGCCCGCTGAATTGCGGAGGTCAGCAACCCGCCTGCAACCGAGGAAGGCGCCGGGGCACGACGGGATTACTAACACTGCACTACGACAGCTGCCCAATAGAGTCCTTGTAGAGATAGGTCGACTCTACAACGGCATATTGCGGATATCCCACTTCCCGGAGGACTGGAAGAAAGGCAAAATCATCGTCTTGCCGAAACCTGGGAAGGACAGGCGTAGAGCTGCCGGCTACAGGCCGATCACGCTGCTACCGCATATAGCTAAACTGTTTGAAAGAATACTGTTCAGACGTCTCCGCCCGTGCATCCAACTTCGGGCGGAGCAGCATGGATTCAGGAGGGACCACTCAACAGCAACACAGCTGACCAGAGTGCTGCACCTGCTTGCGGCCGAGCACAACCGCGGCCGCACATCGTTGGTCGTCTTTCTCGATATCGAGAAGGCGTTCGACAGGGTGTGGCACACAGGACTACTCTACAAGTTAGACGATCAGACCAGTGTCCCTCCTGCTATATTGCGGCTAGTGGCGTCTTTCCTCGTAGACAGGAAGTTCTACGTCTGTGTAGTGGACGCCGAGTCCGCAATAAAACCAATAACTAGAAATAGAAACGTCATCATAGAGAAACAAATGTTTCTCTATGATGACGTTTCTATTTCTAATGTTCTTTGTTATATGTGGTATAATTAACACCAGCATCTTTTATAGGCTAACTATTAGGCTACGGGGTCTCCTATTAAATGCTATACGCGACGTCCGACTTCAGCGTAAACGTTCCGATCGGCGTCTGAACGCCAGGCACAGCGTCAGCGGTCAATACATAATATTAGCAACGGACGACGTCTAGACTTTCGATCAAACAACAGTAAGTAGCCGACAGTGCTCACGTGTGGTTGTGTGTGATATTTGTTCATAAAATGGATATAAATTCAACACTTTTGGCGGCGCTTGTGTTACTTGAAGAAGAGGCACAAGACGACCGTATACGATGAAAAATAAAGGCAACAAGGCACCGATTATTTATAAAGAGAAATGAGGAAGGATGTTTCCAGCTATTGATAATGAAACACTTAAAAGACAGCGATTCTAAATTTACTGAATATTTTCGTATTAATCAAGAACAATTTAAACATATTGTAGAGCTTGTGGCACCTTTTTGATGCCACTTTTATTACATACTCCTGGTATGTAATAAAAGTGCCATCAAAAAGGCATCCTAAGTCCATATCGGTTGAAGAAAAAGTTTTTCTTTATTAAATTTGGCCATTTTGTACTGACGCTAGAGACGACGTTCACGCTGCAATGGTTCAAAATAATTAGAGACGCAGCGCAAAGCGTCTTACGCCGCCTACGACGTCCATACGCCGACGTCAGCGTGTAAAAGAGACCACAACAGTACATTTCTATAGTAAGCATCGTAACGCGGCGTACGGCGTGACGCTGTAAGCGGCCGACGGCGTTTATAGGAGACCACCGCCTTACAGGCTATGTGTTACGTAATTTCATTACAGAACATGCTTTGATTAAATAAAACTATTTTTACGGGTTTTATCGCTTTTTATTTTACTTATTTTTTATTCACGGCGTTTTTGTTTTAAATTCTTTTTGGTTGCGTGGAAAAACGAGTACTCTCACATTTTGCTTAGTTGTTATCTAGCCAGTGCCTCCCTCCATACCATCCGCGTATTTCTTCCACACGCACTGAATAAGGGGAGGGGGGAAGCTAGAATGTGGCGTCATCTTTTCGGCCAATAAAGAAACGCGCCCCGCCGAGATGGAAGTGAAGATGGACGACCAATAAAAGGACGTCCGCTGCCGCCTCTCGCTCTCTTGCATCGCAGTTGAAGATAGACGCTAGATGTGATTGCACCTGTGGCAGTCGGCCACAGAACAATCTAGTAGTAACTGCTTCGCAAAGTGCAATTTGCTGAAACGTCGCGTACCCTCTTACAACGCAGTCGCTACACCAGGGGCATCATCCTCGAGGCCGCCTAAAGAAACCCACCCCGGTAAATGCTTCCATCTAAATTCTCTTGAGCTAGGTAATAGCGAGTGCATTGCCCAAGCCTGCCACGTCAGCCATCTCGTTTAGTTATAGAGAACCACGCATACAGTCCACATATAATTGATCTCGCATAATTGATTTTTGGCCCGACTCGGGAATTGAACGCAGGATTACCATTAGCGTCACCATTTTCAGGTTACTTTGAACCAGATTAAAATCGGGACAATAGGCCCAATCAATTTTATTAATAATTAACAAATCGAAAGTAATGCGCGTAGTGATGGTGTAAGGATATTGCCTACAACCTTCACGGAAGTGCAAGCAATATGTTGACAAAGTTTTATCGCAATCTCATGAACAATATGGCAACGCACAAAATACGAACAAACAAACATTAATTTTTATATATTAGATTATGGCCAGATTTCAATATGTCCTGTAATTGCCCTAAGAATCTAATAAAGATCCACAGACCACCACTTGAATACAGTTAAAGACCAGAGACGGGGAGAGGCTAGAGGTGCGGCACGTCATATGCTGTGATCGCTAATGCTGCTAATCCATCTCCCGAGCGTTGTGCATGTCGCCTAATCCTGTGTACTATAAAACGATACTTTATCTTTATGTGGTATATTTACAATAACGCATGACAGACAAATAATATTAAACTATGTATTACCTTGAGCACGTCTTCACTTGTAGCAACTTTGTAGCTGTTAAAAGTTCGTGTGACACTTCCGCAGCCTTCTTAGCTTCGGGCAACAGCTTCGCGGAGAAGAAATGAAACAAAGCAGGTGAGGAGGGGTCCAAACACACGCCGCTGCGCGCCAACTGATTGCCTCGCTTGTTAGCCGCTCGATAAAGTTCGCGACCGCATCGAAGGCTTTCGGCGACCATCTCCTTCGTAATGACACCTCTGTCTTCTTTCAAGGATTCTATTGAAATTAATACGATTTGTTGAACTTTGAACATTAAAATAAGATAGAAAGGCATCAAAAGGATTTTGCTTCTGGTTAATAATTTGATATAACATAATATCGCCAAGTTCGTAAAACGTTTTCGTTGTAAAATTGGTATTACTAAAAATCAAAACTTCGAGCTTAAACCCACCACGTAAAGATTAATACTTTGAAACAGATGCAATGACCAGTCAAAGACCCAAACTCTCAGACAAACTCACAAACTTATACGAAGAGTTGACTGTGAGAAAAAAATAAATCGCTAGAATTAGAGATCCTAGATAGAATTTTTTTCAAATCATTGGTCTGGAAGTAGGATTGCCACCCGTACTATATTAAATAGTATCGTACTATATTCCAGTCAATTGTACTATATATTATTGAGAAATAATATAGTACCAAAAATACTATATTTTATGCCTAATTCAACTGTCGTGTTGTTCTATAAACTGTGATTGGAAGTCTGGAACAAGTATGTTTTACAGAAATAATTTTTTCCATCAAAAATGTAAAATTGAAGAAGAAAGTAAAGAGCATGTATTAGTGTAATTATTTTTTTTAATTTGAATTGCTCAGACTATCCGATAATTATTTTAAAAGTAAGGTAGAAGGTAAGGTGGTTAGATCATTGATGGCCAAAGCAAAGAACATTATCAAATATTATGAATGTACATATGGAAAAATTCATTAATATTTTTGTATTGAGAACATACAGACTAAGATATTAAAAATAAATGTATACTTTTTTCTCCAAAAGTTTTCAAAAGTACTATCATCCATCCTCATCAATCATAGCCTCCTTTTTGGGAAAAATAGTATTTTTTTCCAAAAAAAAAAAAAGGTGGCAACCCTATTATTCCTACCACTGTGTTATACAAAAACTAGAGGAGCAAACCACATGAATACTGGAAATAAAAAAGGGGTTTAAGTGCCACAAAACCCATTTTAGTTTTTATTGCCGAAATGTATAGTATGTGCCATCGCCGGGTGTTTCTCATTTTTCGTGCACATTACACGTCCAGGAGAAAAGTCTTCATTTTTTTTATTAAATATCTACATTTCTTATAAAGGAAATTAAATGTAAAGTGGTAATGCTTACCTGCATGTAATATTTACAGATAAAAATAACGTAATAAATTAATGATAAATAAAAAACTTCAATAATTCTCATTATCTTCGGTGCCCACTTACTACTCTCCTAAAAAAATTGTATTTTTAACCAAAAATATAAACATTGAATATAAAAAATAAACATATTATGAAACTTTATTAAAAAAACACAACGTTTACACTTAAAATAAATAACGATAATCCCACAATATAAAGAAATTTTATTTCATATGTGTTTATCAAAAAAAAATTCTGATTACCATCGGTTTTAGTGAAAATCTAAATTATAGTCCGCGTATTGGCGTGAATGTCACTATACCAGTATACCACCATGCCGCGCTCCGCACAAGTCTCAGCCAGCCAACAAACGTCGTAGAAGGTTCACGCCTGTTCTTGGAAAAAAAAAATATTTACGTGTAAAGTTTCGCGGGAGGTGATTATTCTGGAATCGTCCTCTTTCCTCTCGTCCATATTATTAAGTGAGTATTAATGATTTTGTTTAATATGTAGTTAATTATCAATTCTAGTGATTACCGCCGTAATTTAAAGTAAGCACGAGATTCGTAATTTTGATATTTTTTACGAAACAATAAGATAAGAATAAAAACTCATTACCTACGTCCTCACTAACTTCGTTTACCGTCGTTTTTTTAGCGATGGTGATGAGGTCAAAACGATGACAATTAGAACCAATTTTACGTCAATTTATTATTATTTATTACAGTGCATTATTACATTACAAACCGTGTGGTCGCGAGTTCTAGTCCTACCCGTAGTTGAGATTTTCTTTCCACGATAATACTACTACGATACAGTTATAATAATACTTTAATTCATAATAAAATAAAGAATTAATAGTTTTTACTTTGTTTCTTGATGTAGCTTTAAGTTTGTTTACAAATAGTAAACTCACAAGCTAACCTTGTGAGTGTACTTTTTATTACTTTAGTTATTAAGGATGAGCTTGATATGATGAATACGAGCAATATCATATAATGTGTTGTTACAGATTATTAAGAACTAATAATGCCAAAGAAAGCCATTAGAGCAGAAACGAGAGTGCGATCGATTACAAAAACAAAGAAAGTATGCAGAAATTAAGGAAGATCCTGAAAGTATGCAGATCTGAAGGCAAAAGAAAGAGCAAGATACCTTAAAAGAAAAGAACAGAAAAAATAAGTAGCGCAAAAGATATGACACCTAGACAATTGAGAGTTCAGAGGATGAAGTGAAGAGTTAATTCAAAACGTCATTATGAAAGAAAAAAGAAAGAGAAAGCTATCCAACAGTTGTTATTAGATAATTCTCCACCAAATAGTGACAATGAAGTACATCCAGCTGGACAAGATCCTCTTACTCAATCAGCTCTAAGCCTCATACCTAATTCATATCTAAATCGTTTGGATTACTGTAAAAGTTATTCTTGTCAAGGGTGCCTAAAGAAAATACTCTTCAGAGAAAGGTTCGTCGCTACCTGCATAAAAAAGAAATAGGCATTTTGAAACAAGAAATAGAAAAAAACGAAGAAACAGAAAGATGGCAATAGAAAAATGTTGTATATAATATGAAAAATAAGAAGAAAAATGAAAATATATCGACTGAAGAAAAAGTAGAACAACTAGTAGAAAATGTTAATACACAAAAGCGTGAAGAAATTAAAGAGCGACTAAGGTTTGGTGAAATACTTTCAAGAAGTGTTGGAGAAGGGTATAAGTGCTTGAGGAAAAAGGATAAGAAAGAATTCTCTAATGTAGTTATGACGAAAAAGGAAAGTTTAAAAAATATAAACTCTTGACACAAACAAAAATATTTACAGTAAGAGATAAAAAAGAAAATAAGACAGCTAAAAATGAAAACTTGAAAGAGCAACTAATTTTGGAGTTTTTGGACGATGAGGAGATGATTAGAATTGCAGATTATGAAAAAATATATAACTAAAAACCAAATATGGAAGCAGAAAAGATACTTAACGGACACATTGACTTATTTGTACTAAAAATTATGCATAATTCGAATGTCGAAGTAACGTATCAAAGATTCTGTAAATATCGCCCATTAAGGGTTTATTATACTATTATATTATATATTATATCTATTATACCCAAAGGAGTCCAGTAGAAAAGCGTGTGCTTGCAAAGTTCATATTAATGTCGATTTGTTGATAAAATGTCTTAATACAAATAAAATACTAAAACAATCTAACAGGACGGGTGTTTTAGAAAGCTTAAGTTGCAACGTCTACGATGAAAATCCCTCATCATCCCTATCCTTTAACTTAACTACTCAATATCATTCCCTTCCTTGACGTTCTCATTACCGTTTCATTACGAAATTTGATATGATAGTAATTTTATTGTTATCTATACAAGGAAGGTAGAAACCACAAAAAGTTGAAGGATTTTATGGATATTAAAGATATTGGGGGAAAAAACGAAGTTATTCGGCAATAAATTTGACATTTACAAATGTCGTGGAATTTGCACGAAATACGCGAAACACCCCGCCATTGCCCTAAAATATGCAATAAGTGCCTAGTTGCTATTTAAATGGCAAATAAATCCATCCGAACAGAGCGGAGGGTACAAAACGCGGGGAGCGTAATTTTTTAAAAGGATCTAAGTTGTAAGTAAAATAATAAAATAAGTAAGTGATATACAAGTGACGGCACTTACACCAAGTGGGGACAATAAAAGGCGAAAAAAAGGTGAAAACAGTAAGCAATTTGCGAAAAAAGCGTTAAAGGATGGTGGGCAAGAGTATTCCATATCACGTGGAAAGCTAATTCCGGCGAAAAAACCGCCGAGAGATGGGGTAATTCGAATTTTATTATTTTAACTTAAATAGTGAATTCAAGTGGTCAAACGCGCAGCATGGAACGCTAGGGATGTGCACTGTGCAGTATTATTATCGTGTCGCATATTAATAGGTACTCAAAATATTTTTATAAATAGGTACCTACTTACTACCTACTCATTTTAAGTGATTCATTCGTTTCGGTTTAAATGCGTAAAGTATAATGAAATATCTAATAAAATATTTAGCTAAAATTTAATTTCTATCTACTTTTTATCTCAATATATTAATAATAATAATATAGTAAATCTATTAGTAAAATACATGATCCCTATCAAATAAATTATATTGAAGACACCCTAAATAATTTATACCAACTGCTGAAGCCGGTCTAAAATCTAGTATTGTGTTTTTTTTTTCAGGCTTTATTACAAATGCCGTTATGAATGCAAAACTCTCAATGCAGACCACAAATTGAAACTATTTCAAGAGTATTATGGTTTAGCTGATAATGAAAGCAATCAAGCAACCTTTTTAATGAGCCTTATACATTTGAGTCCAGTAAAAAAAAGGAGGCGTGGTAAATGTGAAACACGAGCTGAGCAGACACCAGTGCACTGTATTTTATGTTGTACCAAATGGAAATGGTAACTTTGTCAATGTTTGCAAAGCAAGTGTGAAATTGTGACATTGTATGTTTATCCTCACTTATATGCTTAATATATGCGAAAGTATTTGTTTGTTGGTTTTTGCTTTGTCCTATAATTACGCCGCAACAGAGCCATGGATGAAATTAAAAATTTAAAAAAATGTTTCGAAGACATGTAATTTTTTGCATGGTAATACTATAGGACCTGGAGAGTCACATAGGCTACTTTTTTCCCGGAAAAACAAACAGTTCCCACGGTAGTACATGCTCTTTTATACGGGATGTCCCTCATTCAATAACTATGAATCAACAATAGGATTTTTCCCGGGAAAATTAAAAAAAATTAAACATACCTAATTTAAATAAAAGCTAGTGTTATCATAATA